GCTTTGTAAGTATCTTGAAATCGCTCAAAATAATTTTTAGAAATTTTTCCGTGAATTATAGGGCACCGTAGGACGTCACACGCGCCCCCACGAGCCGCCACTGCGCGTGGGGAAGCTTCGGCAACATCTTGAAACCGGTTTGATCGGTCTAAACCGGTTTAACCGGTCTGAACCGGGTTGACCGATCTGAACCGGTTCGACCTGACCCGACCCGTCGACCGTTGACCGTTGACCGTTGACTTCCTTTACTCAGAACTTTGACCGGCTTTGACCGGGCATTAAACGATCTTTGATTTTGATCGAGTATACCTATCCTGACATTTTTCGACATTCCAAATCCGAATCCGAAGTCCGTTTTACCAAATTTGAACCCGAAAGTCTCCAAATTGTCAGTCAAACCCTTTGACTTTGACTTTGACCAAGAATTTAAATATCCGGAAGGTCATATTTTATGTTTTTTGACGTTCTGAATCTGATTCTAAAGTCCGTTTTGCCAAATTCTGATCTGAAATGTCTAAATCGAGCATGTGAACCCAAAAAGGCTTAGTATTTTTAATATTTTGATTATTTAATTGAGTTTTGGTTAAGGAATTGATTCAATAAAATATTGTTTGAAGGTACTGGTGTTTCAACTGAGAGAGGATCAATTAGGTCCGGAATTGTTCGTTTGTCAGATCAGCCCGAACCACGTATTACTAGACTTACCCGTAGGTTTCCGTATATTATTTAAATAAAGATTAAGATTATTTATATTAGGATTCCAATATGGATTTTTTTTCAATTCGTAGGATCTAGCGCTGCAGCAGAGCGTGATCGACAAAACTAGTAATAGGCTTCCCTATCTGATTTCTCAGACTGTTACAGGTGTGTTTCCTGATAGTGTTATATTATTGTTTTAAAGTATATAAATATCTGAATACTGTATATCTGATTTCTAATTTACTGTATATTTCTGATATTATTTCTGGTTATGGTATTTTATATCGTTTTCTGAATACTGATTACCCAACATCTAAATTACCATACATTACTGATTTGATTTTTTATTTCTGTATTTCTGTTTATGGTTTTCAAGCTTGAAACATTCTTATGTTTTTAAAGAATTATTTATTGTTTTACACGCATACATTCATGTTCATTACTATCATTGGGGGAAATATTATTGGAGGAAGATTATCTGCAGGCTCCTCGGCTGTGTGCTCAGGGCCTTACTGGTTGTGCGGGGTGTATGGTTCTAGGGAACCTACACAAACAGATTGTGAAAGGATAGGGGTAGTGTTCATGTTTTCAAAACATATTGCATAAACAAATTTTATTAAAATATTTTGTTAATATGTTTTTTATACACTGTATAGAGCACACTGAGCTTTTTAGCTCATTCTGTATTTTTTACCTTTTTCAGATAACAGCAGACTGTAAGCTAGCAGATTTGGCATCAGGAGAGATCAACTACTTATTTTGTACGAACATATATCTCTATATGTTTTTCGGTTATATTTGGTGACATGTATTTGCTATCGTTTTGGATATATCTGTATTATTAATATTTTGTTCTATATTATATTTAATGTAATATAATGTATTGTCAGATATTAAAAAAACCTCTGAATGGGACGTGTGACCACTTAGGTTTTGGTCTAACTTACAGACCGGGTCTGGGGGGTTACATTTACCTTATTGCGTAGAGTATAAACCTCATTCTGCAACGATGAAATAATCTCGCGTAGAGCGGCAACCTCATCACGTAAAGTAGATACCTCATCACGTAAAGTAGATACCTCACCACGTAGCGCACCATTGTCATCAAGTAAAAAATCCACCTCGCCACGTAAAGATCGAACCTCATCACGCCATGCACCATTATCTTCACGTATAGTACCGACCTCATGACGTAAAGCACAGACCTCATCACGTAACTCCCCTAACTCATCCCGTGGAGGTGGAGAACAGGGAGATAAATGTCGTGGCCTCTTTGCTGGTCGTCTATCATGAGGTGATGGTGGAGAAGAGGCTCGATGATGTGATGGAATAGGTGATGGTGGAGGTGGAGGTGGAGGTGGAGAAGAGGCTCGATCAGGTGATGGCTCCGGGTGTCGAGCTGTAGAATCGACCCGATCAGGTGATGGCTCTCGAAGTGGGGGGTGCTCATCATCCGTCCCATCAAAAAACCGCTTACTAGATTGCCACCAATCAATGGCAAGATCAGCCTCTGTGGGTGTCAGCCTCTATAATGGATAGTTGGCCTCCTAACAATATAAAAGCTCAAACAAAGTTAAACTTGTACTAGTAATAACTTGTTTATATATGGTATAATTTGTGTGTTAACTTACATCATTCATCGTCGTATATGGGAGTAACTCTTCCCAATCCAACATGCGGATCCTCTTCCAGGTAATAGCCCTAGGAATATCATTTGATCTTTTTATCGCATATGTCCGCATGCTGGGGAAAGCCTCAAATATCCAAATCTACAAAACAATATAATACACAAACATTAGTAATTGTTAAATAATTAATTATAATTTTGGAAACATTATATAGAAATTCTTACCTTAAAGGCCCAAGTAAAGCCTGTCAAAGTATATTTAGAACCATCGCCCCGCAAACTTTTTCGGTCCTCAAAGGAAGCCGAAAACTTCTTCCAGGTAGCTTTCCATAGATATGAACCCCACAGAAACAGGTGCCATGCATTTAGGTCCTCTACAAATAATATTAGGTCCTCAGAGATAGGTTGTCTGCCCTCTTTGCCTAAAAAGTCGGCATGCAAAAGTAATAAATGGCATACTCGGACAACATCAAAGTCATCCATCCGAGTAAAACCATCTTTAACAAATAATCTCTTCAAGTCGTCGACGTGTAAACTCAGCTTCGACTTTTCCAGCTCAGGAAAAACCCGAGATAACCATGATGGGCGGGAGATATGACTAGTGTACCGGGTTACTTCATCGTGTCCGAAGCGTAGACCAGTGATTAAGCAAAACTCCTCCCGCCCAAAACAAGTATACGCCGGTGCTAGAGGAAAATGAAACCATATCTCTTCATCACCACGTTGTATCCTCTCGGGTAGATCGTTAGTCATGGTCTGAAGAAACAAATGTGTCAACATAGCATTTCCACCTGTATGTTGTACTTTCAGCCATGGCCCGAAGCAAGTATCCTCAAACAATTTTCTTTGTAGAGGTATAAGCGTCGACGCAATTTTAGTGGCTAGGCTTAATTTATTCCTTAAGGTCAATGCAGCCGAAAAAAATTTCTACAAAAACAATAAACATACCAAGTTAGATATACCAAAAACTACAAATTATACACTATAAACAGACATGATATTAAACAGTGAAAACAAAGCCAAATATGTTTCAAACTAGCACGGTATTCACATGCTGTCATTATTCCATCATAGTTCACAAAATGCATCAAATAACATTCCAGAAGTAAGCACTTATATAAACATTTAAAAGGACAACATATAGGTTTAGTGCAGGTTCAAGGGCAACATAAAGAGTAGTAGTTTATTCTTGAAACTTAAATTAGCAACACTATGAAGTTAGTATTTGTCTTTTTGTTGAAGTAATGCAATTCATTCAAGTTTCAATTTGCAGAATAAGAGTAGTTTCTGAAAATTAAATTCGCAACGCGAAAAAGAAAATCGCAATGAAAAAAATCGCGACACGAAAATGAAAATCGCAACGCGAAACTAAAATCGCTTTGCGATTTTCATTTTCGCGTTGCGATTTTCATTTTCGTGTTGCGAATTTAAGTTTCAAAAAATATTCTTCTGCAAATTGAAACTTGAATGAATTGCATTTCTTCAACAAAAAGACAAAACAAAGACAAATACTAACTTCACATGGTTAAAGACTAAATAGTTTAGCAGTATTGGCAGCAACCGAATGAATTTACTAAGCAATCTCAGTGAAATGGTTAATCTTTATATATATTGAAATTACCAGTAAATTTATCATCAATATAAGAAAAATCTAATAATAATACAAAAATTTCAAAATAAAAATAAGAGATTAAAAAACTAACCCTCGGTGGTTGATTTTCCATTTCTGACCGTGAATGGTTGTGAGGGTTACTCTTAGAGATGGAGATAGACGGATTTCGCCAGAGATGGGGACGGATTTCGTCGGAGATGGGGACGAATGTCGCCGTAGAGAGTGAGAGATGGAGATGGGACTGAGTTGTGATTTAGGGTTTTAGGTTATGATTTGCGATAATACTGTTTACATTTGTGTTACGAAATTAATATTGTGTTTCGCGTTGCGAATTTGACTATCGCGTTGCGAATTTGACTTTTGTGTTGCGAATTTGGCTATCGCATTGCGATTTACAAATTCGCGTTGCGAAATTGGAAACTGGGTTGCGAAATTGGAGTTCGCGTTGCGAATTTGTTGGTCATTTTTGGCAAATCCAAAAAAAATTGGTTAAAATCGTATATTATAAGGCATTTTCGGTCACTAAGGTTATTTTCTCTTTTTTTATTATGGTAGTATTTACTCTAGATAAAGTATTTTCTTTTCCTCCAAAAGTTAATACTATTTAGAGTTATACTTCCTTATTTCAAGTGTACGAATTTGAAAGATTGTATTAATATTGAGGGGCAATGTCCATTTTTAGTGATTACACCAATTCAGGCGAAATTACTTCTAAAACAATGATTATACGACACAGTAAAATTACTTGTTCTTTATTTATTTATCTTATTTATTTTTCCTTTCAATTTGCAATAAGCTATATTTCATAATTTTCTAAAAGTTAATTTATTCCCTCTTAATAATTTTTCAGTTTCAGTTGATCGAGCTAACACAAACATCCTCAAAACATGTTCAATCATTCGCCTAAAATCAAGAAAACGTTATTTTAACGTCTTACATTATTTGATCCCAACAACCTCTTACAGGGTTCCAATTTGTTTGCTAAAAAATTAAAAAACCCAAAAGACAAGCCAGTTCAGTCATTTGTCTAAAATCAACATACAGGAAAATGAAACGTATAGAAACTTCCAAGACTTTGTAGTGTAATTAATTAATTCTATAATAATCCACCGATAACTTCAAGGCAGTCTAGTAAAAAAGATAAGAGGTTCTCTCAGATTTTTCTAGCATCAACCAATAAGAGATCAAGAAAGCAAAGAAACAAGATGGTGATGGCTACTCCTCCTTTATGTGCAAACGGCTGCGGTTTCTATGGTTCTGTAGAGACAGAATTTATGCTCCCAGTGTTACAAATCAGAGATATTGAAACAAGAGCTGTCCAAAACGAATGACCCTACTAGTTCACCGGCACAATCTCCACCTGTTTCGGTTGATTCTGCAGCTGCAAAACTCAAGACCAGGTGTGAAAGCTGCAACGCTTGGTTTGATGGGTTTTACATGTCGGTGCGGGAAAGTTTTCTGTCAGCTTCATCGTTACCCCTCGGAACATTCCTGCAACTATGATTTCAAGAAGGCTGATCGTCAGGTGTTAGATAAAGAAAATCCGGTTATTAAGGGTGACAAACTGAAATCCAGGATGTAACTCTTTTTCTCTTGTATAAATGGTCAGCTTCGTTTTCCCTCATCTTTCTTCTTGCGGCAATAATTAGACTACTAATATTCTATTCAATGGGACATCAAATTCAGATGCTTATATATCTTGTTTGTGGTTATAAATAGGAAAGATTAGTTCTAAAGACGAAAGGCTGAATATGCACAATAGTTAACCAAACTAAAGAAGACCGCCATTCGAAACAAGCCGATCCAATTTGCATGATGGTTAGCTTCAAGATAAGCATGTCAAAGAACACAGTGCTAATCTTTATGCATTAATTGCTGATAAAAATGAACCAAGAAGCATCTTTATTTCCATCAACTTGTAAAATCATCCCTACACATAAAGTTGATAATTATGACAGAGTGAGTAAAGCATTATTATTACCAGCTGAATAACTCTATTGTTTGTAGTTAAAGCCTGGTTACTGCTCCAGATAGAGAGCAGGCATTTCTGTTTCTTCACACACAAAAAGCAGACATACAAGGTAGAGTTTGAGGCCATTGATACATGATAAAAGGAAAGAAAAAGGCAAGCCTACTAAAGATAGAGAACACCCACATATGGTCACTTTGCATTGAGCATTGCAAAAAAAAAAAAAAACCAATTCTTATAACTGAAAAATCATGGGGGAACTAACCTGTTGTGTGCTCAAAAAATTTCATGCATGGTACATTTGATCTCCATCACCAGAAAACGCCAACCTCCTTTCGAAGGACAATTTAAAACTTAAAAAACACACTTTCCATGGAAGCATCTTTCCTAGTAAATACCAAAAACTCAACGTCTCCTTGCAAGAGAATTATAGTGCATTTTCAACAAATCATCAAGTAAGACCAAGGACCAGCCATTATCCTTCTGGGCATAAACCTTCTGGTTAAGTGAATCAATTACTACGCTTATGTTACCGAAGCCATATATCTGTTGACCATTATGCATCCTGCCAGGCTTGGGCTTGAATAGCAACTCGTGTTGTTGTGCATAGGCCTCAACTACTTCCTTCAAACTCATCTCAGGAACACCATCCATCTGGTTTGCAGTGCCCAGGCCGGCTGCAGCTTGCGGTTGTGCATGAGCGGCTGCTCTCTGCTGAGCCTCAAATTGCCTCTGTTCACGCACCTTAAGATATGTAACATTCTCCCTCAAACCAGGCTGCTCTACTGGTACATTGTCAGCAGCCTGAATCATCATCTCAAGACCATAATTAAGTTGATTACGGATACTCTCATTAGCCAAAAGCTCCTGTGGCAGAAGTGCCTTCCAACCCATGTACCAATTTTTTATCTCGTCAAAGTCGGGTTTTGAACACAACCAGTGATACAAAACCTGCAGCCACTTTACAAAGAAAAACTTCTCCATCAAATCAACCATGAGGTGAATAGGAATTGCAGAGGCCCACGACATAACCCAATGAAACTGATCAAGCTTCTGATCTGCAGGGTTTATTTGGAACTCCTGCAGGGCAATCTGCAACTTTGGGACTATATATTGGCGCATAAGTTGTTCCCAACTCACTGAATCAAATACAGTCTTCCAAGGCGATAATATAGCATAAGCAGAAGGATCACTTGGGTGCCAAGCATCAAGAACATTACTCAACTTCATTCGTATGGTTTGATACAGACCTTCCAACTTTGTCCCCAACATTGGCAGCCAAGGATGAACCCAAACGTGGATTGGAACAGTTTCCTTACGTGGGTTCCACGAGTCAACTGCTCCTGACAATTTAGGCATTACCACAGTATCCAATATGGTTTGAAGAATGGATGACGGCAACAACTTTTCCCATGATTCCAAAAATCTGAGCATTGGTTCAGGGTTCCTAGGCTCCCATGTGTTGATGCCAGATATTCTCAAGGCTGGTAAAACAACTTCAGAGATCAACTGAGAATAAGGTGTTGCTACATCCTCCCAAATGTCATAACCGCCCTCTATTTGCAATAAGTCCTTCCATGCTGATATCATCTCCATTCTGTAAGATGGATTTGATAGAGGATCCCAACCCTGAAACATTCTTATAAACAGGGGCAAGGCTAGTGAACATGCAATGCAGGACAAGTTACACAGTTTGTAATCATCAGCATAGTTCCTCTGCAAATCCCTAAAACAACTTGCAAGGGACTCCAAGGTTAATTTTCCAGATGAGTTCTCTTCCTCAATTTGGTCCAGAACACCAGTAATTCGTTCCATATTAGCCAAATGTTGCTTCTGACGTGAAAACTCAATCTCCAACTTTTCCTTTTCCTTCTGCAAGCTCAATGCTATCTCTTTTTCATTCCTTAAATCCCTATCGATCTTTTGAATATCAAGCTCTGCCAAGTCAACAATTAACTTCAAGTTATGCTGCAACTCGGGCATTGGAACATCATTCTCTCTTGCCTTCTCTTCGGCATCTAGATTCTCCAAGTTGGTCAAAACTCTAACCTGTGGCCCCCTCATATCTATCACCTTTTGAACAATTTCAACAGTTTCTTCTTGCTTCTTCGCTAACAACTCCTCCACTGTAATATACACCTCCTTCTTCCTTCCCTTAGAATTCTTCGACCAAAGCCTCTCCTTTGGTTTCCCAACAGGCTGCTGACTTGCACTCTTCTTCTCTTCCAACTGCTGCAACTCTGGCAACTTAGCCTCCTTAAAATCATTAAACCCCATTCCCATATTCTTTGGCCTCATCTTTGCTTCAATAGGAGCAACAATCCCTTGTTCATTCTTCCCAAGACCACCTCCTTTATACCCCATTTTCTCAAGCAACTTCAACCCAATACCCTTTGTATGCTTCTCAAATGACCCAACATCCCCACTACCACCTCCAACCTCCCTTCTCCCTCCTAAGCTTTTCTTCTCCATTTTCAACCTCTCCCTTTCTTTCTCTCTCCTTTGTGCCCCTTCCTTTATCTTCCTCCCAAATGAGCTAGGCAAAAAACTAGAAACATCATCCTCATCACTACCAATATTAACATCACTTTTTTGCGAAGTATCATTACCACTAAATCCTAAACCTACGCCAGACCCCAATCCAGGCCTGCTATCATTCTCGTTATCATCATGGACAATATTATCATTCACAACCTTAGAATTCTTATCGATTTCTTGGGTAGGCATTACGGTACCTGTAGAAACAAAGTTGACAGGCTTCGTCAAGTCGGTTTTTTTCCCAAATTCCCTCCTTCGTCTCTTCCTTGATGAAGAATAACCACCGTCTTCAGAGTCGGAATCAGATGCAAAAACACCGTAAAGGACATCATCTTTAGTCTGAGTCCGCTTTTCCTTGCGCTTTTTATAGTAGAATTCGCCGTCGATCCATCGCCCGTCTTCAAAATCGTTATCCATCCCAAACCTTTCCATCTCTTGATATTCATCCATTTTTTCCTCCGCTTTATCAAAATCTGGAGCAAAAAGACGGGATTTACAAATGGAGGGGGGAGCACAAACTGTGAGATTACAAATTTTTTGTGTAAAAACACGAATTTCAAAGTGAAATTAATAGTAGCAAAAGACGAGCATCCAATTACCTGGAAATCTCAGGTAGGGGGGTAGTTCGAAAGTGGATGAATCGATGTGGGATTTCAAGTGAAATATTACGGGGTGAAATGCAAATCAAAGGGGAGAGAGAGGAGATTAGGGATTTTTAGGGTTTAGGGTTATACTTAATGAGTCGGGTAAGGTTTCCCCTATCAAAGCTCCAACTGAAGAAACCAGAATAAATGAAATAGGGAGTTGGATTCATTTTAGTTTTCGACTCGGATTTTTAAATTTAGGTTTGAGGCAACATTTTGTTTCTCTAAAAGCAATATTATTCAAAAAAGAATGAAGTGTCTTTAATTAATAAATAATGGAGCATAAATCAAATTATGTTAGGGGTTAAAAGAATTGTTATTGTTTACAGAGGTTATGAGTTCGAGTATCGGTTATTGTAGTGGATTAAAAAATAATGCAGGTGTCTAACGTTACAAAATTTATTATTTTAAAGTGTTTGATCTATGATGATAGTCATTACCGGATTCAAAAAATATTTTTCAACGTGGACGCACATGTATTAATGACATAAATTTTTTTATATAGGAGAGGCAATAATAAAATTTCAAGGCAGCGTAAATATATATTTTATATTAAAATAAAATTAAAATATATTTAATAAGTTAAAATAAAAATAAAATATATTTTTAAAAGTTAAGAATATAAAATATTATAAATTTAAATAAAGTGTTTATACACTAAGATATTTGTTGTTTGAGTTATACCAAATGTCCATCTTGACTTAATTGCTTGGCGCCTGGTTTAACAATACAACTAGGGCTATAAATGAGACGAGACAGATCGCGAGCTACTCGAGATCGACTCGATCTTAGCTCGATAAATACTCGGATCGAATAGACTCGACTTGAGTTTTTAACGAGCCAAAACGAACTACTCGATACTCAACTCGAAAAGATTGTGAGCAGCTCGAAAAAATATTATATTATAATTTTAGATTTTTTAAAATTACATTATTAAAAATATATTAAAAATACATTATTGATGAATAAATATTCTTGAATTGAAAATGGTTAAAAATTATTTTTGAATAAATATTCTTATATTTATTTTAAATTAATAAAAAATGATTTATCTAAAGACAAATATTTAATATATTTCTAATGATAATATTTGTAATAACTAATTTTTTTAAATTATTGTTATATTTTGAGGTTTCGAGTTCAAATATCATAAATATCAAGGGTTTGAGCATTTAATATAAAGATATTATATTATACTTGCCTCATAACTAATTTTTTATTTGATAATAAATATAATATAATAAAAAATATGATTCAATTTAAATATTAATAATTTAAAAAATATATATCAAAATAGAGTGTAACCGATTTTATAAAGAATTAAGAAAGAAAAAACTCATTTAGACTTACATTAATATCTTAATTAACAAAATTAATGGCATCAAATCATATTTGAGAGAAAATGGTCATCCCTACTACTAACATGTACCATATAAAGTAAAAAAAGACAGATATATATGCATTACTAGATTCTACTTTGAAAAAAAAGAAAGTAATAATTGCAGAGTTGGAAAATGAAAGCAGTAAATAAAGAGAAGAGAAGAGAAGCAGAAATCAAAAAGATTGAAGCTTCTTATTAGATTTTTGTTCCCCATAAAGCAAAAGAAAAACAAGTATACTCTCTCTCCTTTCACTAAGCCATCTCATTCATTCTAATTATGTGATAAGATTTAGGGTTTAGGGTTTAGAGTTTAGAGTTTAGGGTTTAGGGTTTAGGGTTTAGTGTTTATGTGTTAGGGTTAGGATTTATAGTTTAGGGTTTAGGGTTTAAGTTATATACATGAAGGTAACATACAAATTATGCAAAATGATGTTATGTGACTCCTAAATGAATCATTCACATACTTATACATAAACATATCAACATGCAAAATAAATATACACAACTAATTAAAGGAAACAATCATAAACAGGGACTAAATTAAGAGAAACCTAAATGTGAGGATTAATTTAAGCTAAATATACTAACTTTAGAATGATGATTAAATTCATGTAAATGTAAAATTAAACTTACAAAATTGGAATTAAACCAATGACTTAAATACAAAATGTGCATAAACTACAGGGTCTTATATACAATTGATCATATTCGGTTTAAGCTAAAATAATATGGAAAATAACATAAATGACACCTGAACATTTAAAACAAATAAGAAAATGTAAACAAATGTGATTGAAATACAAAAATTAAAATATAACATACCAAACTATAAATTTATTAAACATGTGGCGCCTTGATGTTGAGTTTGCTCATTGATCGCATTACATAAATAGTGTAGCAATTAACACATTCTTACATCAGTATTAGTATCTACATCTCCCAATATCATAGTACCTAAAAATAAACACATAATTATATTTGTGTAAGTATATTTTCGTATTTTCAAAGAAATAAAAAATTAAAAAATAATAATAGACAAGTAAGGGAAACATCGGGCACATCCCAAGTTAAATCTTAAGCAGTTTTGGGCCTAAAAATGCAATGAATATTGTTGGTCAATGGATCAATATCTCATTTCTTTTTACAGAGACTCACTTTAAAGAATAAAATAAATTAAACTAGAAAATGGAATTGAAGTGAGGCAATTAAAAGTTCACTTTAAATGAGAGTTCTAGAATCGCTCTGAATTTATAGTTAAATATAATATCACCACTAGACTGAGGTAGAGGACGTCGGTACATTCCATTATCATTCTATGGAAGAAGATGAATTACACGTGTATTGTTCAACTTCATGCGCACTGCAATGCAACCCGTGAAATGTTGTCCCCAATTCACTCAAGAATGGGGGTGTAAACGAGCCCCCACCACCCAAAAAAATCAATTAATAATTGATTATGGACTTCCTGCAGGGAACGGAAAGCAAGTTGAGTTCATTTCCTTTCTAGTTTCACTTCTTTCTGTTGTAATTTTTTACAATGCTCAGTTTGATATTTATCTTCTAAGATGAATGCAAACTATTAGAGGCTTGAATGGCTTGCTTGTGTTCCTTTGTTACTGTAGTCTACGTTACTCGGGCTGGAGTATAAATGTTGAATACGGGTATATATTTTACTTGGGTGTTCCATATATTTGGAGGTCATATCCTCGAATAAATGTTTCAGACACTAGAGCAACATAGACTAGGTTTGCTTGTGTTCATCTTCGATTCTCGACACTGTTTTTTTCAACAAAGATAGTGTTGATTCATGGAGTTCCATGCAATTTTGCAATGCTCCTCTTTGTTTCTCGACGATCACGTTTCCATTTCCGCCATTGGAGAATAAACTTGTTAGCTTCACAGCCTCGGATAATACAGTGTTGAGGGTTTGAAGGAGGTAGAAAAGCATGTTGGGACTGATGTTTACTGAAATGTGAATCGAAACAAGAACCTGGGTATGGAGTTTATTTGCAGAAGCTTCGAATGGAAGTGAGATTTAGGTTCAGAGAATTTGTTGAAGAAACGTTGAGAGAGAAAGTTGAAGAGAAGAAAAAGAAGATGAATATTGGTATAATGATGGAAGCCATTGAAGGCTATTGCAAAAGCTAATAGGATATTTTTCTGTTTTTATAGACCAATGTTAGATCAAATAAGGCAAATTGTTGAGATTGTCAGACTTAGCATTGAACTTGAGTTGGTTTGATATCCCACATCGTTGGTTGTTGGGGAATAAGAGGTAAAGTGAGTGTATAAAAGTGGATGGATTTCAACAAAGGAAAATAAAACCTGTCGAGCTCAGAATCGAGATCAAAATCGAGCTTTAATTGAGCTTGAATCGAGCTCAAAATTGAGTTTCAATCGAGTTCGAGTTTCGAGCTTCAGTAGAGCTCTTGATTTTTTTTGAGTTCGAGTCTTTTCGAGTTCGAGTCGAGCTTGAAAATTTTAGGCTCGTGAGTTTTCGAGTCGAGTCGAGCTTAGATTTATAGTTTTCGAGTTCGAGTCGAGCTCAGTAATACTCGAGCTCGACTCGGCTCGTTTACACTCCTAAATACAACAAGGGGTTTTTGGTTTGATTATAAATTAATTTAGACCTTTAATTGAATGATGATGCATGACATCACCTAATTTGATAGTTAAATTTATTTTAATTTATTGAAATTAAGATTAAATTTAAAGAATATATAAGTTACAAGGACCGACTGTAAAATTATATCAAAATGTTTTAACTACCACGTCATCTACTCTGTCAAATGTTAACGGCATGTGGGTTGATTGAAGTATTTAAATAGTTAGGTGATCTGATTGATTAAATTAAAACATTAGTAGTCAAAATAAAATGTGACAATAGTTAAGTGGTCACTCGTGTAGCCTTTTAAGTTAATAACAATCATTATCTTTTCAAAAGAAAATCAAATTTAGAGAAATAAGGCTCAAGAGAAGTTTAGGAGGATTTCAACTGTACTTACATTTAAGCATGATTTAAATCTCAATTTTTTCTAAAATTAATTAATAAATTTGTTGACTCACAAAATAGTCAACAATTGTGGAAGGTGATTGGATGAATGTCTAAGCCGTGGAGGATGGTCGGACTACTATCTGAGTTATGAGAGAGATAGTCGATGAGTGATTCTTATCCGGATAGCGGTTATTTATAGTATCTCGGGTTTGGGTTCAGTTAGGAGTTGTCATATCATTGGTTCTTATTAATCGCTCGAGATTAGCTCTAATTGGTTGACTTGGGAGACGGCGTGACAGGCGTTGATTAATTGTTCGGGTACAAAAATAATTTGAATGATTAAATTGAATAAATATGAAATTATAAATTAAAATATAAATAAAATAAACAACATAAAAAGGTTAAATCAAAATAATTGTACAATGTGAGGAAAAATTGTAAAATTACATATATATATATATATATATATATATATATATATATATATATATATATATATATATATATGCACGAATCAACTTACCTTATTGGTTAAAGGAATTGTTGTTATTAGAAGTCTTGGGTTTGAGCACCAGCGACTGCAAGGGTATTGAATATTTATTGTCAAATGGCTGAGAGTACTTAGAACAGATATTACTTTGTAATAATCTTTAGCTTGATCAATCGTGACGATGTCAAATCTAACCCTGAAAAAATAAACGAAAACAACGATCAAACAATCGAAAATGTGACATAGAGGCAGAGAAAAACGTT